CATTTGTTAGAAAATGGAGAGATTGCTGGGCTGTGAGCTGCAAAGGAATAATATAGAAGGTTCACACAGTGAACACAGTTCTGTGCCCTGGGAAAGTTGGAACAACATCTCACTATGAGCATCACTTTTTACCCTGCACCCTTCTAATGGGGATGGGTGGCAGAGAAGTGCATTAGTGGGAAACCTTTGTCTTTCCACTGGAGCAGGTGTCTGAATGAAACAAAAGAGTGAGTGAGGAGCATTTGGCCTGAGAGGAAAAGAGTGGGGGAAGCCCTGCCAAACTCATGAGAGAAGGCTAAAGACAGCCAGAAGAATACTGCAAGTGGTGTGTGTAAATACCAGCATGCATGCTTCCGTCTGTGGCACCTGTTTTCCCTAGCACATGTGCCCTCCTGCACATATCTCTGTTTACACCTTCATGTATGGGTAGATGCTTGTGTGCAGAGGCCTGAGTGTACAAGTGTGCATGCAGGCAGAGACAGAGACATTTTTATTTCAGAGCCATTCATATTGGCTCCGATACCTGACTCTCACCTTTCCCAGCACTCTTTCTCTCTTTCTTTCAGTGCTTCAGTTGTGAGGCCCTGATAATGGCTTCCTGTCCAGTTTACACACTCTGCAGCTGCAGCTGTGATCTCCCTGATTGTTATCTCAGCTGCAAAGCTACAAATGTCATAAAATTCCTCAGGTCTTATTATGCCCCACACAGTTTTCCTTCACACCACTGTAAATCCCATCTGCTCTACAGCAGAGCTTCTTCCAGTGGTTAATGTCTACAGGAGGGAAACTCTGATTCTCATATTATAGGACTAGGTCAAAAGAAAGGCCCTTACATGGCTGGGGGTGAATTTGGGTCCCTTGCTCACTATGGGCAGGAGCACAGTGTTCTATAGAGGCCAGGCGGAGTGTGTGGATGGGTAAGGGAAGGGACAGTGTCCTCTATGTGATCTAATGTCAGTACTTTCCTGCTCAGACCAGGCTTGGAGCACTCCACTGAAATTCGGAAGAAGCCACGTTCACTCATCCAGGAACCAGAGTTCATGAGTCTGAATGATGAGTGGAGGGAAGGTAACTTTTCCCTGACCCACATTTTCAGCTGTAATGTGTAACATTTTCAGCTGCAAGATGGGTCTGCTTGCAGTTCCTGCTGTCCTTTTTCTCTGCATTTCCATTGGGCAGCATCTCCTCACACAGGCTACGTCTAGAATGCATCCCTGTCGACAGAGGGATGCAAATCAAGCACGTCGAAATTGCTAATGAAACCGGGATTTAAATATCCTGTGCCTCATTAGCATAAACATGGCCGACATTTCTTTTCAAAACGAAGTTTTTTCGAAAAACAGCAGTCTAGACGCGGCTCTGTTGAAAATAAAGCCTTTTTCAACAGATCCTCTATTCCTCAAAAAATGAGGTTTACAGGATCTGTTGAAAAAGGCTTTATTTTCAACAGATCCGCATCTAGACTGTTTTGAAAAAAAGCAGCAGCCATGTTTATGCTGACAAGGATAAAAATTTTTTGAAAAAAGGCCCCTTTAAAAAAAAAAAAAAAAAAAATCCCTGTAGTCTAGACACACCCATACAGACTAACCAGTGATGGCTCAAGGCTTGCTGCCTGGGTTCTGCACCTGCTGCCTAAGCCCTGGAAGCTGAAGACAGGAGCTTTTCTGGTGCAGTATGGATTAGGGATATAATAGTGTAGTCAATTAACCGATAAGCAAAAGCGTATAGGTTAATGCTATAGACTACACACATTTCCACCCTCCCCCACCAGTAAATTATTTAGCAGTCTGGCCAGCAGCCCAGCTCAGTCCTGGCTTGCAATAGGTCCAGGACCTACCCCTGCTGTGGCTCTGCATTTAAAGTGTAATTAGGAGCTAGGTGGGCAGGCAGCCTGGTTCAGTCCCGGCTCATGCCAGGTCTGGGAGCTCAGACAGCCCCTAGACAGGGGCTGTTGCCACCCTGCACTGCTGCCTCTGTATCAGAGCCACCAGCACAGGGCAAAAGGCAGCCAGTCCATGAGGGGAGCTGGTTTTTAAACTGGCTCCCCTCATGGACCAGCTCCCGCCTGGCACCCCGTGCTGCTGCCTCTGATACAGAGGCAGCAGCACAAAATGGCAAGGGGCTTTTCAGGAGTGGGGCCAGAGCACACTTGCAGCTGGCCCTGCCCTTGGGTACTATAGAATAGTTGAATAACAATTAAGAATTCACGAGGTTAATCGACTATTCAATTAACCGATATTTAACGTCCCTAGTATGGATACGGCCATAGCTAATGTTAGGGAGTAACTAGTGCTCTGGCTACCCAGCTGCCTGAGTGGGGAGGTTCCAATATAGTTGGCCCACGAGTGTTCTGTACTGAGCTGCCCTAGTGATCTCTACCTTGATTGAGCAGCATGGAGCATATAGGTGTCTTAGCTTCACCAATGGTGTTGGAGTTGTCTGTGGGCTCTGGTGCAAAGTTCTGAGGCAGAGTGGGATAGTGCTCTCAATTGAAAGGGTTGGGAGTGGAACCCTTCTGTGGTGTCTTTCCATGGGAGGATTTCAGAGACCCTCACATAAAATATGGAAACTCCACATGTCCACTGGCTATTATATCCATGTTACATGAGTGAGCTGGTATCAAGACCGGAAGTAGCTCACTGTAACCTGGTCTATACTACCCTTATTTTGAAGTAACAAGTAGAGTCCACACTACCAAGCCTGTTATTTTGAAATAAGGGGCTGGTTATTTTGAAATAACGCTTATTAGTTATTTCAAAATAGCGGTAGTGGATGCTCCATTGCTGCTATCTGGAAATAACTACTCCCTAGATTCATTAAACGTAATTATTCCCCAGTGCTTGAGGTAGTGTGCCCACGCTAAGGGAGACTGCCTCTGACTAATTTTGAGCTTCCCTTTAGTGTGAACACACTGTTTCAAAATAGTTATTTTGGGAATTCTTTTGAAAAGTTATTTTGAAATAATTTCCTAAGGTAGACATACTCCCTGAAGCCAAGACTGGGAGTCGTGTATCTCAGCTCCCTATTCTGATCTGTACCCCGCTCCCAGGGAGGGAGCTAGAAGCTATGACTTCCAACTCACTTATTCACATTTCAAGGCCTAGACAACACTTCCTTCTCAAAGGTATGCTGTAGGGGGACAAGAGCCTAGATAGTCTGACGCAGGGGTGGGCAAAAGGGCCTCTATGGCTGGATCTGGCCTGTGGAGGCCCTGCCACTCCCCCTGTCTCCAGGCTAATTGGTCTGGGGGTAGGGGAAGCATGCTAAGTCTCCTGCCACCTGTCCCCTGCCCTTGCTTAGAAGCTTGGCACACTATCGCTCTGGAAGGAGCCCTTTTGCGCAAGAGCTCATCAAGAAGAGGCCAGTGTAGACAGGCAATATGAATTTCTTGTGCAAGAAAGCCCTATGGTTAAAATGGCCATCAGAATTTTCTTGCGCAAGAGAGTGTCTACACTGGCATGGATGCTCTTGCGCAAAAGCACATGCCAGGGTAGACACTCTCTTGTGGAAGAGTTATTGCACAAGAAGCTGCCACTGTAGACGTAGCCTCAGTGTACCACTTGTCTGGAGGCCAGTTTGAGATTGGAATGAACTTCCACAGAAATTAGGGACCATCACAAACCTCACCACCATTTGCTCCAAGTGCAAAACCCTATCAAAACAAAACACTATTATAGGTGTTTTCCCCCAAACTACAGACTTGTGTTTGGCATGGCACTTCATGCCCTACTGGGTAGGCACTCTCATACAGCCCTGTGCCCCCATGTGATTCTCCTTTTCTCTGATGATCTATAGCAAGGAAAGAGGCCTGCTCCTTTCTCAGCCCAGAAGGATGCAGTGGCTCATGTACTATGTAGGTAGGGGGTAGGGCAGCCTATGCCCCCTCCCTCATGCCCAGGAATGGGTTGTACATAATGAAAGAAGCTATTAAGGAACAATTGCATGTTTGAACTGGGATTTCATAAGGACAAGAACCACCTGGGCTGGAGGTAAATGTCTTCCCTGAGGCAGTGATCTGTGCACACGTCCAGGCCCAGCCCGGTAGGTATGCATTACACTTGGAAGAGACAGTGTCTTTCTGGCTGGCAGGTCTGTGCTTGCTGGCTCTGATTTTACTAGTGCCTCCCACTTACAGGGATGGGCGGCAATTACTTTGTCACCCCCCACACCACTCCCTTTTCTACCTCCTACCACACCTTGTGCATCCTCCCAGCTGCTCTTCTGAAATGCAAAGTGAGGAGAGGGCTGATAGTTTCCATGCATTCTTGGAAGTGCAAGCCTGCCTTATTGTAACCCTGGAGGCCAGGAGCAGTGAGAGAAGTTGCAGCAGGTACAGCCAGTCTCCCCATAGCTAGCATCTGTTTCTAGCCTGGACTCTTCAGATGGATTTTCCTGCTGCACTAGGAAAATCCTGATCACTTCATGTTTCCCATGTAGGCTTGTGTGACAGGTTTTCCTACTGTATTCCTGGGGCTGTTCAGGAGCTATTCTGCCATTCTCAGGGGCTGTGTCTAGACTGGCAAGTTTTTCTGCAAAAGCAACTGCTTTTGCGGAAAAACTTGCCAGCTGTCTACACTGGTTGCTTGAATTTCCGCAAGAACACTGACGATCTCATGTAAGATTGTCAGTTTTCTTGCGGAAATACTATGCTGCTCCCGTTCAGGCAAAAGCCCTCTTGCACAAATGCTTTTGCGCAAGAGGGCCAGTGTAGACAATGCGGTATTGTTTTGCACAAAAAAGCCCCGATCGCAAAAATGGCGATCGGGGCTTTCATGTTCAAAACTGCGTCTAGATTGGCATGGACGCTTTTTCACACAAAGTGCTTTTGCGGAAAAGCGTCCGTGCCAATCTAGACGCTCTTTTCCGCAAATGCTTTTAACGGAAAAACTTTTCTGTTAAAAGCATTTGCAGAAAATCATGCCAGTCTAGACGTAGCCTGGGTGTTTGGGGGCAGTGCTGCTTTCTGCTCATTCCGTTTCATATATAAGCAGAGGCTCAACAGTAGCTAAGACTTTGCCCAACACCTTCTCATCTTCCCTGTCTCCTTATGCTCCACACCAGAGCTCAGTCCTCTCTGAGACATTGCAGGTGCTACCGCCTTCCCCATCTCCTCCTACACTCCCATGCCTGGCTCAGTCCTGCCCTCCACAGCTGAGGTACAGGGATCCCCCTTTCCATGGTGCCACAGGCTCAATCCTCTCCCAGCCGAGGATCTCCAAGCACTTTGTAAATACTGGTTTAAGGAATCCTCCCAATTCCCATGAGAGGCAGGTAACAGGAGCCCTATGGAGGGGGAAATGTAGGTCGCAGTGACAGAGCCGGGAACAGAGCCTAGACAGCCTGACGCCCAGTCCTGCCATGAGAGGCAGGTAACAGGAGCCCTATGGAGGGGGAAATGTAGGTCGCAGTGACAGAGCCGGGAACAGAGCCTAGACAGCCTGAGGCCCAGTCCTGTGCTCTAGCCACTAGGCTGCACTGCCTTCCCCAGTACTGGTGCAGCGCTGGCCCTGCCGCTGATCAGCTTGGGAGCCGGAGCGCTCGCAGGCAATGCCATTGTCTCAGGTAACCTGGCCCGTCCCAGGTGGGCTGCGCTCCCCTCTCACGGGGCTGCAGGGCCGCCCTAGCCTTCTCCGCTACCAGCAGCGGCTCCGGCCAGGTGCGGGGGGGGGGCGACTTTCCTCCGCCCAGCCCGCAGAGCGGGCGGTGACGTTTGAGCCAAGGTGGTGGGGGGAGGGGTTGGGGTGGGGCTTGGGCGGCAGATTCCTTACCACTAACTCTGGGCAGCTCCGGGTGCGCCGCGCTCGTGGTGCCGACCTCGCGGCGAGCGAGCGAGCGAACGAACGCACCTCTCGGCTGGGCGAGAGCGGGAAAGCGAGCGGTGTGACCGGCGGGGCGCCGCTGTGGGATGCCGAGCGGGGGAAGCCAGGTACGATGCGCCAGTGGGGAGCCGCGTGTGCGAGGCAGTTCGGGGGGCGGCCGAGGGAGCCGGAACATTTCTGGCGAGGGGGGTGACTTAGGTGCGAACTCTTTAGACTCCGTGCTGTCCCCAGGGCCCCGCTGCAGCCGGGGAGACACGCTCGCGGGGACTGTCCAGCACTACGGTCCCGCCTGCTTCACCTTCACCCGGGCTGCAGGCAGCTGGAGAGCGCGGGGTGGGAATGGGAGTAGGAAACGCGGCTCTCCTCGGCCTGGCCGGCCTCCCACTTTGGCCCAGCGCTGGGGGTTTCTGAGCTATTTCGCCTCTCCTGCTGGGGCTTTCCCTGTGTTTGCCAAGCGTTAATCCCAACGGCAGCTAAATGCGCTTCTTTGAGCAGCCCCACTTATCAGTTCGTTAACGACACAGCCACGTAGCCTGCAGCTGCCTGTTTGCTCGCTGATCATTAAGCTCGGCCAACTGTAACTTGGCATCAGGTGCCTGGCACAATGGGGATCCCCCATCCCAGGCCAGACGAGAGAGGAGGGAAAGGGAATCATGGCAGTGGAACAGAACAGAGTAAAGGTGACCAAAGGGCAGCCCACAGACCTGTAGTGTGGAGGAATTGGGTAGTCTCTCTTTATATAGTTTGTGATTTCTCTCTCTAGTGATCCTCTGTTTCTTTATTTCAGATCCCTGGGAGGTGTGTTTGAATCCTAGAAATGTAAGTCTGGAATGGATTTCAAGAAGTTATCTCCTGATTCTAGTCTAGCCATCTGCCAAATAGATCTAGACCGTTCCTGACAGGTGTTTGTCCAACCTGTTCTTAAATACCTCAGATGATGGGGGAAGTCTTGCCCAAATCTTCACTACCCCTATAGTTTATTTCCTCCATAATTATCTATCCTAAATTTCCCTTGTTTCAATTAAGTCCATTACTACTTGTCCTACATTCAGTGGATATGGGGATCAGTTTGTAACAATTTGCAGCCCTTAACATTGTTATCTGGAAACTTATTAGGTTCATGCACTTCCTCCTTCCAGTTTTCTTTTCTCTGGACAAAACATACCCAGCTTATTTAACTTTTCTTCAAAGGTTAGGTTTTTAAACCTTTTATCACTTTTGTTCTTCTCCGGCCTATCTCTGATTTGTCCATTGAAAAAGTGTGGCATCCAAAGCTGGACATAGTACAGTGAGGCCCAAATAGTGCAGGGCTATTATTTGAACTTCCTGTGTCTTTCATGTGGCACTCCTATTAATACATCCCAGAATATTATGGTTATTGTTGTGCCTTTGTAGTTACTTCATATTGTGGTGTGTAAAGAGCAAAAGACCCAAGAAGGCCAGATAAGGCCCTTGGTAATCTGCAGTGCAGCTGGTGTTCCTTTTTGTGTTTTGAGCATGCAACTCCTGGAAACTATACAGGTCTCACTCAGCATGCCATGCACCCTCCTGCTCGGAGTGGTTGGCTGAATGGCACTCTGGGGAGCTTAATCTTTGTGGGCTATGCTATGTAGAAGCACATCTGCAGTCTGCTTCATTATATGCCCAATAGATTCAGCCCTTGGACTTCTTGCCTGCTGCTGACAGTCTTTGGTAGGACAGTTTGATGTCCTTGGAGGAGACCCTAGAGTCCGCTGCCTGGTATTCCAGAGCAGACAAGGTGTTGCAACATGCATGTTCTGTGGAGAAGCCACCAAGATCTCGGCTACTCCTACAGGCAGAGGCAGACTGCTGCACCAAAGGCACAATGCTCCGAGCAGTTCTGTGAAAAGCTCCTCCTTACATGTCCTTGTGCCTAGCAGATATATGATTGTCTCTGCAATGCCTGGAGGAAAGGGAAGCCTGCAGGAAAGGGCTTCAGCCATCACACTGCCCAACTGTTGGGTTTAACTGTTGTTTGGGCATTGCCCATCATTGTCCCAGTGAAAGGAATAGCCCCATGTTCCCTGACCCATAGGAACTAAAGGCTCAATTGAAGCATCTGCACATCAATAAGCTTGGGTCTTTGAATAAGAAGGAAGTTCTCAATCCAGGCCCATTTAATTCACTGGCAGGAGGGAGGCTATTGTTTGAATGGTCTCCAGATGTTGTGTAGAAAGGGCAGGGATCCCTTCTCAGTTATTTGCCAGTAAAGACCAAGAGGAGAAATGAGCTGGGCCTATGAGGGGAGGTCTGGTTGGGCCAGCCTAATCGTGTGTGAAGTCAGCTTGGATCAGTGAAGGCTAAACCTGTACGGGTGTATGGAGGGGGGCCTGGCCAGGGCTGAGCCTTCCTTGCGTATTTCACTCTTTGCTGTGGAATCAAAATATCTCGTCTAAAGGCAAAATGTCTCTGCCCCTTGGTGCTGTGAAGAACTAGGGGCTGAGCTTGTTCTCCATGGAGTGAGTAACTGTGTCTTTGCTGCTCTCCTTTGCTGCTTTTGAGTGAGAGGAGCATCCTCTGCATCAGCCATCACACAGGTGTTAATGAGTACACGGGGTGCAAAGCAGAGAACTCAGTCCCTGGAGTTTCTGTTGGGAAAATGTTGGGAGGAGTAGCAGCGAGGGTTGACTTTTCAGAGCTCTAGGGATCAGGCAGGGAAATGAGGGGGGAAGAGGAGAAATCGGCCCTGGCTTTGGAGTTAGTCAAGAGGTTTGGCCTATGACCCTTGACCCTAAGCAGAGGCCCCATCTAGTTGGTAACTGTCCCACAAGTCTCTAAAGAACAAATCATGCGTCATTGGAGGCAACAAGGCCTGGAGATTAGCTGAGTGAACAGTGGGTGAGCTACAAGGGGAGGAGAGTAGGGAGAGTCTCATGAGAATCTTTGCCTCTCTCTAATACCTGCCATTCATGGGTCAGAGGCGGGAAGGGTGATGTGATGCCAGAAGAGCACTGGTGGAGGTTGGGTAAGTGTGGGGAGGGGCAGGAATTCCCTCTTTTATGGTCTCCCTGCTAGCAGCTGAATTTTCATTGTCTGGTTCCTTTTGATGTGTCCCTCTCTCCTGAAGCTGGGATCTTGGTTTTTCTCCCTTTTTTTCCTCTTGACTAACTCTCTCAATCCTACATTTCTCACGGCTGATTTATTTACTCCCTGCGTTGTACTGCTGCTGTGATGCCAGTGCTGCTGGTGAGGGGGTAGTTTGCTGCAGTGCATGGCTACTCTTTTGTTTCTAACTATCCCAATGGTCACTCCCCTGAGGTATTGGACAGGGCCAGTGTGCTGCAGCTGTCTGCAGCACTTAGTTACAAAGGTACCATTAAAATCATGACTTCAGTGTAAGTGATGCAGTGACATCAGCTTGAGACTGCAGACAGGTGGAAACAGTGGCTCTGACAGGCAAACTCAAGGGGCTGTTAACTCTGAGCCCCAACAATGACGATTTAACTCTGACCATGGTCAGTTGTTTCATGTCTGATTGAAGCCCTTAAGAAAAGGACAGGCCAGAGGTATTGTGCTGATTTTCACAATATACTGGACACAGTGCCTCATTTTGTGCTCTCATGTGAGTGAAGCGTTTCCCAACCTCTGGTTTTCCCCATGGCTTGACGCTATTGTTAAAATGTGACCCAGCTTACCTGTGTCTTAGCATGCGCCTGTTAATCTGTGTTTATCAGGGTCTGCCCTGGCACTGGGGATGAGACTGGGCAGCTGAGAGTTAAGTGTGCTGTCACCTCTGCTGAGCAAGATTGGCTCCTTGACTCATGTATGAGGGAAATGAATGGGGGGAGAAGGGGATGTGTCTCATTCTGGTTCCCCGAAAACATTTCTCTGCACCATCCACTTCCTCTCTCTGCAGTTCAGTCCTGAGCTTCTCTGCGCATGGGGCCTGGGCTCCCCTTGGATCCTGGCAGTGCAGTGAGAGGCTGTCTGCGGGTAGTGCCGTGACCTGTCATGAGCTCTGCTCTCTTCCCACAAAGGCTGAACAGGCTGCTCCCATTGGTCTTCTTGCCCTAGAGACAGGACACTCCTGAAGCTGGGTCCATTGCTTGGGCCTGTGGAACACAGTTTCCTGGGCTTGGACAAGCTTTCTCCAGCTTAGGCATGTAAAAGGGCTGCATGTCCCTTTAAGGCAGGAGTACTTGTCCCGTGACTCCCAGGCAAACAGGATCTTTACTCCACACAATACAAAACTTTGTTAGAGCAGGTAATGGTCCGCAGCCAGCAAGGGGAGGAGGGAGGCATCTATCCCTGGGCTGACTCCTCAGAGATTGTCATGGTTTTGTTCCACAGGAGCAGGTCAGCTAGATGAAGTTTGGGAAAGGAGCCAGAGTGCTGAGTTTTGGCTACTTGCTTATCTCTGCTCCAGTAAAGATTCCAGAGCAGCTGGCCTTGGGTGCCTTGTCCTTGAGCCTTGTATCTGGGGAATGGGTCCGGCCCCCACAGAGGGCGTGGGGGAGGGGAAATTTGTTCTTTAACACAAGAGCAGATTTAATTAAACATCAGGTGACCTGGCAGGGCTCTGAGCTCTGTGAGAGCAACTTACTAAACCCCATCCTGTGCTCAACAGCTGGCTGGGGGCCCAGCCTTGGGCATGGGATCCTGTGGGAACCACAGGTTTAGGTCTCTGTGCTGCCTGCTGAGATTACTGAGGTGCAGTCATGGAAGTGCCCAGCAGTAGGGCATTAGCTAGTAGGGCTTTAGTTCTTTCTGTAGGGACCAGTTTGTGTGACTGAAGCTGTGAGGCAGGGTCTGTCTGGTCAGATCTAGCCAGTTCTGACTGCCGTGGCCATGGAAAGACCCCTTCCAAGAGGAGTGACAATGGCAAATGGATTCTCACTTATGTACCCATGTAGCAGCCCAATATGCACATGCTAGGTGTTCACCAGAGTGTGCTTTCTCTTCCCTGGCAGACTCCCACCTTGGGTTCCTAGAATTCTGATGCCAGCTGTTGGGACTAGCCTGCTCTGACCGCTTCTCTCCAAAACCTCAGGGGATCTCCTTTGTTTCCCAGAAGGTCTCTAGGGGCCTCTTGAGCACAGCATGGACACTTTTAGCACTCTGTGTCTGGAGGGATTTTAAACAGTGAATTGTTACTTGTCAATCTCTAAGTGGCCTGGGCATCTGAGATCCCTCTTTCTGTGCTCTGTTGGAGTGGTTTATCCTAGCTAGGGGCCTCCAGGTCAAACTTAGGAAGTGGGTTGTGCCCACGAAAGCTCATGACCATCTACATGTTTTTGTTCGTCTTTAAGGTGCCGTAAGACTATTCGTTGTTTTTTTCGTTACAGACTATCTTGGCTACCCCTATGAAGTTTATGGGAGCCTGTGATAGAATATTCCCAGGGGAGGGTCCTTTGCTCTGAATTGCAATCAAAGGGCTGACCAGCCTGAGAAAGAGGAGGCAGCTTGGCCTTGTGATTAGAACAGGGCACTGAGTCAGGAGTCAAATCTCAACTCAGCCAGCAACTCCCTGCCCTTCCCCTCTGTGCATCATGGAGGTGATGATCTTCACGCACCATTAAGGAGCTGTGAGGTTGGATGAATGGAAACTTGTTGCAGTGAGTTCATGGCTCTCAGGGAGGAGGCTGTGCTGAGCGTAACTGATGCCATTAATCAATAAGCATCTGCTTATCAGTTAAACGGTTAGTTGTTTACACTCAAACGTCCCTAATAATAATTAGGGACCAGACAAGATGCTGCATTGAACAGAAACAATGGGGGTAAAGCCAGCAATGCTTGGAGCCTTCATCAGTGGGTGACAGTGTCCCCAGACTCCCCATGGTGGCCGCACTGTAATCCCTTAGCGGAGTGAGGGGTGCCCTCTCCGGGTGGCTGAGAGAATGAGCTGCCATCGTGGTTACACAGCCACTTCACCCAGACACCAAGCTAATGCCATCCTTTGTGCCCAGCTTTGGACTCAGAAGGGCAGAGCCCTGCATGCCTGTGCCTTGGCTGTCGGTCTGGCTGTGTCACTTCCATGTGCTTCTCCTCCATTGCAGGCTCTAGGATGATGGGGCCAGCTGGGCTAGACCTGCCTACATGATCCCACTGCCTCCAGCCCTTGCCCTGCCTGCCCATCATGCTGTGCTCCTGGCGTGGAAAACTGAAGCTGCTGCTCGCCACTGTAACGCTGGTGATCCTTGTCTCATGGCTCTGTGTCTTTCTGGGCACTATACAAAGTGAGTGTGGCCTGGCATTGGGTTGAGGTACTGCCCAGAACAGGGGAATGAGCAACAGTATTCAGTGATGGTTCTGCCACTGACTCACTATGGGCCCAGTCCTTGCCCAGTCTCTGCTTCAGTTTCCTCATCCTCATCTGTGATGCCCCTGCTTATCTCTGGGGGGCTGTGAGGACAAGTATGTTACATTGTATAAAGCATTTGATGGGTGGAGAGCTAATCACTTGGAGCTAGGGGAGGACTTAGAGATGGAGAGGGGCTGAGATCCTACAAGGTTGCAATGCTGAGCCTCACAGGTGTTTAACTTCTAGTTGTGTAGAAAATCCTGGGAACAACACTGTGCCCACAAAGTGAGGTCTCGGTGCCAGTGCTGGGCACCTTACAGGTGGATCCACACAAGCCAGCATGCTAGGCTGGGAGCCATCTCAGCTAGCAGTAGGAGATGCTGATGAGAGAGGTGTGCTAAGTTCCAGCTTCCCAGAGAGATAGGTGCCGGGTCTGGGCTGCAGGGAGGGCCTATCTCTGCTAGCAATGCAAACTGGGGGAAGGTGCTTCTGTACCTTACTGGCATGTGGGTCCTGATCCAATAGGCCTGCTGAGAGGCCACCTAATTCCACTCAGTACAGCTGAGGGGAGGGAGCGGAGAAGGTGTCCACTTATAACCTGGTCAAGTGCTCATCTGGGACGTGAGAGACCCCTGGTTCGAGACCTCTGCCCCTACGGGATCTGCCACCTCTCAGATGAGTGTTCTAACCACTGAGATATAAAGTGCTTCTCACTCTCTGGCCCAATTAATTATTTAAAGTGGAAGAACTTCAGTAGGCGAAGTTCTACACATGCCAGACTATTGCCCACTCCCCACAAGCTGTTGATGGGAGTTAGACCCCCATGCACATTCCTCTGGGGAGGGGGGGTATTCTCTCTCCTCAGATGGCTGTCCCCACCCACCAGTGCCATTGCCACATTACCCCTCCCCTCTCTGACCCTACACCCACTGTGGCTTTGGGGTGCTCTTTCCCCACACTTGGGCAACTGTTATCTCTTCTCTCTCCTTTCCATGGTCAGCATGCAGTGCTAGGGGTGCTCTCCCACCATGTTCCGGGGGCTGAACTCACAGTGGTTTGGGGGGCTCTCTCCACACTAGGGATGTGAACAAGTAGTCAAGTAGATGATTAACCAGTAAGCCTAGGCCTGTATCAGAGGCAGCAGGGGGGGAAGCAGGAGCAGATGTGGAGCAGGAGCTTAAAAGCCGGTCCCTCGTCCCTCCCCCAGCACTGGCTCTGTGGTGCCACCTGCTTCCCTCCTACACTGCTGTCTCTATGTGAGTAGGGGAGAGAGGAGGCTGTCTACAGAGGGTCTGAACTCCCTATGGACACTGAATAAGAGACTGCAGTGTGGGGTGGCAGGCAGCCAGTCTGTGTGGGAGCAGGTTTTTAAACTGGCTCCCCTTGTAGACCAACTCCTGCCTGCCATCGGGTGGCAGGGGGCTCCCCAGGAGTGGGGCCAGAGCACTCTGGCTTCTGCCCCGTCATCGGGGACTATCGCATAGTCGACTAACCATTAAGAATTCATGTGGTTCCTTGACTATTCTGTTACCCGTTAGCTAACATACCTACTCCACACAGATGGTCGTTCCCTCCTATTGTCCCCTTGCTTTGGGGATCGGCTGAGCCAGGACCAGGAGCGAGAGGCCTTAGCATCCCAAGTGCGCAAGGTGGTAGAGGAGAACCAACAACTGCGCCTGTTGCTCAGTCAGTCTCAAGTGCAGGCTGGGGCTGTGGGCAGGAGTGATGGCAGCCAGCAAGGGACAGCCTCCTTTGAGAATGAGGACACCCCTGCGGACGAGAGGAGCAACCGCACGGGCTGCTCTAAGCAGCAGGCGGTGCAGAAATGTGAGGTGAGTGTGTGGCCAGCTTCATGACAATGTCCTTGGGGAGGGTAGGCACCTTGAGGGAGCCAATAACACTGGGTGCTGGGGGTGCCCTGGGCCTGGGTTGATGGCCTGTCCTAGCAGCAAGTCTTTAGATTCTGGGCCTCCCCCTGGCTGTCTGCTTTGTTCTTGTCTCAAACACTTGGGGGCATTTTATTCACAGTTAAGGGTGTGAAGCTGACAGCCAAAAGAATGACCCCTCCTTACCTGCTGCTGGAAGATGTTAGTGCCTCAGCATGTGTGAGCTTATGGGTGGGAAGGCAACACCAGGACTCCTGGGTTCTCTTTCCAGCTCTGTGACTTGGGGCAAATCCTGCCTCAGTTTCTCCACCTGTCACCTGTGGGTAATGACCCTGACCTGTGTCCCTGGAGGGCTGGGTTGCTGAGGCTATTTCTGTGTGTGGTGTGCTGTGTGAGGTGAGATGGGCCAGTAGGAAAACTGACTGACCAAAATGTTATCCAGCCACTGTCGCCACTTGACTTGGGAGGAGAGGGTTCTAATCGTAGGATCATGGCACTGAAGTGTTCTTGCCCCAGAAGCAGCTGTTTGCTGGACAGCCCTTGCTTTGGAGGTGCTACTCTGGGTAGGGCTGATGGTACCTTCTGTCTCTGGGCAGCTTCTGCACGTAGCGATTGTGTGCGCAGGTCACAATGCGAGCCGAGATGTGGTCACCCTGGTGAAATCCATCCTCTTCCACAGGTAACACAGGTGGCAGTGCAGGGGAAGCCTGTGCTGTGTTATGCTATTGTACACAGGTTCTTGCCCCGTGTTCAGGGCTGGTGGGCTTCTGTCTCCTTTTCAGACTTGTGTGTTTTGGGGGCTCTGGTAAAAGGGGGATCAGATCTGAACCACGCCTGTGGGGAACTTAATTTGTCCTTCCTCCCCAGTCACAACTGGCAGGATCCTGTGTTACTGGGAAGGTCCTATGTGAAGGGGGCTGTGCTGTTTGCATAGGGGTGGAGTGAGGTGAAAGCTCTCATCCCTGGGAGGTGTAGGGGGGTCTGGCTCAGGATGGGGCAGCTTCTAGAGGCCATTGACTTTGGTGACAGGGGGAAGCTGTTCTAGGCTCAGTGGTTCTGGAGGGATCTCTGACAGCTGCCTGCATTTCCCCCTGGCAGGAAGAACCCTCTCCATTTCCACCTCATCACGGACTCTGTGGCTCAGCAGATCCTGCAGACTCTCTTCCAGTCCTGGATGGTGCCCTCTGTCCACGTTAGCTTCTACAATGCAGACAATTTGAAGGCAGGAGCCCCAGATTTCTTCCTGCCCTCACTCGCCCTGCCTTTCTCAGCTTTTCTTCCCAGGCTCAATATTCCAGCAAAATGAGCAGGGCAGTGAGGGTGGTGGAGGGAGTTCACTAGACTATTAACTCTTGCTGCTGGCCCCTCTCTCATCTGCTCTCTTCCTGGTGCCTGTTACCATTTCACACTTGGTTGGTATGGGGGTTGGTTTCTCCTCCGCTTTGGTGCAGGTCTGTAGCTGAAAGCTCTTGTATGAAGGAGCTGGGGAGTCTCAGACCCATTCTTAGCAGAATGACACAACCACTAGCCCAGGTGATACTCACTGGTCCCCTGGTTGGCAGCCTCCAGAGAGCAAGGTGTAACCATTCACTCACTAGAGAGGGCCCCTGTAAAGCAAGGTGAGACTCATTGGCCTGGATATGAAACAGCCAGAGTCCAAACCATCTACAGAAGCAGTGGAACAGGCTATGGGGCAGTGGGAAGCTTAAGGCATCAGAGTTCAGTCTGGTCACAAACAATCGGAGCAGCAGTACAAGTCATGCACAGATGACGGGGAAGAGGTAGGAGCTGCGGATGGAACACAGAGAAATATCCCAAAGGGAACAGGCACATAGGCACTAGTAAAGTGAGACTCAGCCTAAAGAAATACTACTCGTACATTGGGGAAATATATCCTGAAACCTGGATCCTCAGAGGGGCTGTCAGAGCCTCGGGAGATGGAGGGTGGAGCTGTACAAAAGCTACTGCACCTGAGGCTTGTGTACACAAGACGATTGCTGCTCTTTGTATGGCTCTGGGCACCTCAGGCCCTGGGGGCTCTGCTCCGAGAGCAGGGAGGGGACACGCAGCATGACAGTGGTGCTGAGGGGTGCAGAGTTGACTCTGACTGGAGGGAGTTCGGGGAAGGATGACAGGAATGAGCAGGGAGGCGTGGGGAGCAATGAAAGGATGGAATCTGTCCAACTTGGCTAGTGACTGTAAGGAGGGGAAGGAGAAAGCAGTGCTTGCCAGTATCTGGAGTTTTTCAGGCAAATACCTAGAGAGCATTGTGGGCAGGGCAGGGGAATCTTGGCTGACATCCTGATGCTGAGGGAGCAGTGAGCCCACTGCCCAAATGTTGAACACCAGGAACAGACTGGAGAATGGGTTATAGGGGTCAGTCCTCCTCAGGCCCAGGGGGAGTGGCTGGCTGTGCACCAGGGCCTTCTCCATCTTTGCTGACTGGGGACACTAAGTAAGCGATGTGTGTGAGGGCTAGATCCCTGGAGACGTCTTATTCACAGCTGCCTTAAAACACTTCAAATGGAAAATACATTTGGGCTAAGCCTGGAATCGATGCGCCCCCTGGTGGCAGATGCCTGACCAGCCAGAACATTGTACAGTGCACCTGTACAATCCCCCCATATTATGTACTTCCTTCAAATGTGGGCAGAACAGTCTCCTCGCTTTTCTAGGACTTGCTCATTGCCTCCTCACTAGTTCCTGATGGTTCTGAAGCTCTGTGATGCTTCATTAGCCTCTGGCACAGTGGGGGTTGGATTTGGGGAACAGCCCCACCTCCTTAGACCTCTGTTTTGCGGGGATGTGTAACATTTGTGGTACAGGCTCAGTGCTTTATGTCTAGCACTGAGGGGGAGGGGGGAAAGATATAGGAATGGCCATATCCTGGCCCTGAGGGCTCCCTCCCTCCCTGTTGCAGCCAGAGGTGGCGTGGATTCCCAACAAGCATTACTCTGGGATTTATGGGCTGATGAAGCTGACGCTCACGAAGGCACTGCCCTCCAACCTCTCCAAGGTCATTGTCTTGGACACAGACATCACCTTTGCCACTGACATCGCTGAGCTGTGGGCCATCTTCGGGAAGTTCTCTGGTGAGGAGGAGTTGGGACCAGTTGAGTTGCTATGCCTCTGCGAGCAGAGCCAGGCCCATTGCCCGGGCTTCTCTGAAAACATGCAGCCCCTTGGCACTGGTGGCAGTTTAGGAGTCTGCTCTGTTTGGCTCTTCCTGTCTGTCTTCCTTGTCAACCACTGGTGGGAGTGGAAAGGGGGGGTGGGGGAGGGCAGTGCAGGGCATGGATTTGTGGTGGGCACATACCCCTCTGGTGAGGTGGGTCTGTCTCACTTTCCAGATAAGCAGGTGGTTGGGCTGGTGGAGAACCAGAGTGACTGGTATCTCGGAAACCTGTGGAAGAACCACAAGCCATGGCCAGCGCTGGGACGTGGCTTCAACACAGGTGAGCTCAGAGCATCCACAGCTCAGTAGTGAGACTGGCGCAGGGGAGGGCCCCCAGAATTTGGAGGGGGGGCAGGGCTGGGGAAGTACCTGCTTTTACTCCTCCCCATTAGGCTCACAGATAGCAAGGACCTATTGCCATGACTCCTGTCCCGTCCCGGAGAAATGCTGCTGTTGTTGCTTGGGACATGGGGAGCAAACTGCCAGCAAATCCACTGGGACCTAAACTTGTGGCCTTGGCCACAATGGCTTGATGGCAGGTTTCCCCAGTGGCTCTACCTGACTGGCCCCCATTCCCTGCTCTACCAGCCCAAGGCCTCTCACACAACCTGCCCCTCTTTGATTTTATAACGGGGATAAGTGGCCCCAGTGAGCTGCACTGAGATGCCTTAATAAGGCTGCCAACTCTGACTGAAGTTATCCTGGGAGGCTTTTTTCCTATGTGACATAATAGGCTATTTTAAGAAAATGTCATTAAAATGTCCAGGTTGGCTTTCAATAGTCAACAGGGGGGAGATGCCAATTCTGGGAGACTCCAGGCCAGTCCTGGAGGGTTAGCAAACCTGATTCAGCCTCAGCACAGGGATAGTCACATGCCATTCTGCTCTTCCACAGAGAGGTTTCTTAAGGTGGCCCCCTCCAAAGGTGACTGCTCCCTAAGGCCATTCCAAAGTTGCCCTGGCCAATCAAAAAGTTCCTGAGGTGGGAGCCGAGCCCCCTCCCCACGCTCTGGGAATCATATCAGGAGACACTGCTGTTGAGAAGAGTGTGGGACATAGGGACATCACATTCAGGCTAGGCAGCAAGCCTACAATCCAGCCCGCCCTCTGGGATGCCCAGCAAAGGGTGTTCTCAGAGAACTGGTTGGGTGCCGTCCCAGAACATTGACCCTAGGAAGCTCCAGAAGGGATCTGGCTAGAGCTGAGCTCGGGAGGCTGAAGGCTGGATCGACTGCATCAAACAGAAGTGCTGGAGCCTGTGTGATGTGGGGCACCTGTGACCTCTCCTCCTCCCACCTCCTGCTTCCCAGGGGTGATCCTGCTGCTGTTGGAACGGCTGCGCCAGATTGGCTGGGAGCAGATTTGGCGGCTGACAGCAGAGCGGGAGCTCATGAGCATGCTGTCCACCTCGCTGGCAGATCAGGTATGGAGCCGAGCTGAGCCCCAGCTACAAGGTCTTCATTGACCCCATGCTTAGTCTTGGACAAACTTATAGATGCTCCCTGACCTGCAACTTCCTGCAAACACTGGGGCCTTTGGATGCTGCTGACAGTAGGTGCCTTTGGAGCAATGTTTCCTCTAACTTTTTCCATGTGTGAAATAAATTTTATGTGCAGTTGAAACAAATCCAGCCATGGGCACTTTGCTAATTGGCTGGGCAGCATTGGAGGGGCTGCACAAGTGCACAGTGTACAGGGAACACTGCCTGGGATGCCATCGGGTGGCAGGGGGCTCCCCAGGAGTGGGGCCAGAGCACTCTGGCTTCTGCCCCGTCATCGGGGACTATCGCATAGTCGACTAACCATTAAGAATTCATGTGGTTCCTTGACTATTCTGTTACCCGTTAGCTAACATACCTACTCCACACAGATGGTCGTTCCCTCCTATTGTCCCCTTGCTTTGGGGATCGGCTGAGCCAGGACCAGGAGCGAGAGGCCTTAGCATCCCAAGTGCGCAAGGTGGTAGAGGAGAACCAACAACTGCGCCTGTTGCTCAGTCAGTCTCAAGTGCAGGCTGGGGCTGTGGGCAGGAGTGATGGCAGCCAGCAAGGGACAGCCTCCTTTGAGAATGAGGACACCCCTGCGGACGAGAGGAGCAACCGCACGGGCTGCTCTAAGCAGCAGGCGGTGCAGAAATGTGAGGTGAGTGTGTGGCCAGCTTCATGACAATGTCCTTGGGGAGGGTAGGCACCTTGAGGGAGCCAATAACACTGGGTGCTGGGGGTGCCCTGGGCCTGGGTTGATGGCCTGTCCTAGCAGCAAGTCTTTAGATTCTGGGCCTCCCCCTGGCTGTCTGCTTTGTTCTTGTCTCAAACACTTGGGGGCATTTTATTCACAGTTAAGGGTGTGAAGCTGACAGCCAAAAGAATGACCCCTCCTTACCTGCTGCTGGAAGATGTTAGTGCCTCAGCATGTGTGAGCTTATGGGTGGGAAGGCAACACCAGGACTCCTGGGTTCTCTTTCCAGCTCTGTGACTTGGGGCAAATCCTGCCTCAGTTTCTCCACCTGTCACCTGTGGGTAATGACCCTGACCTGTGTCCCTGGAGGGCTGGGTTGCTGAGGCTATTTCTGTGTGTGGTGTGCTGTGTGAGGTGAGATGGGCCAGTAGGAAAACTGACTGACCAAAATGTTATCCAGCCACTGTCGCCACTTGACTTGGGAGGAGAGGGTTCTAATCGTAGGATCATGGCACTGAAGTGTTCTTGCCCCAGAAGCAGCTGTTTGCTGGACAGCCCTTGCTTTGGAGGTGCTACTCTGGGCAGGGCTGATGGTACCTTCTGTCTCTGGGCAGCTTCTGCACGTAGCGATTGTGTGCGCAGGTCACAATGCGAGCCGAGATGTGGTCACCCTGGTGAAATCCATCCTCTTCCACAGGTAACACAGGTGGCAGTGCAGGGGAAGCCTGTGCTGTGTTATGCTATTGTACACAGGTTCTTGCCCCGTGTTCAGGGCTGGTGGGCTTCTGTCTCCTTTTCAGACTTGTGTGTTTTGGGGGCTCTGGTAAAAGGGGGATCAGATCTGAACCACGCCTGTGGGGAACTTAATTTGTCCTTCCTCCCCAGTCACAACTGGCAGGATCCTGTGTTACTGGGAAGGTCCTATGTGAAGGGGGCTGTGCTGTTTGCATAGGGGTGGAGTGAGGTGAAAGCTCTCATCCCTGGGAGGTGTAGGGGGGTCTGGCTCAGGATGGGGCAGCTTCTAGAGGCCATTGACTTTGGTGACAGGGGGAAGCTGTTCTAGGCTCAGTGGTTCTGGAGGGATCTCTGACAGCTGCCTGCATTTCCCCCTGGCAGGAAGAACCCTCTCCATTTCCACCTCATCACGGACTCTGTGGCTCAGCAGATCCTGCAGACTCTCTTCCAGTCCTGGATGGTGCCCTCTGTCCACGTTAGCTTCTACAATGCAGACAATTTGAAGGCAGGAGCCCCAGATTTCTTCCTGCCCTCACTCCCCCTGCCTTTCTCAGCTTTTCTTCCCAGGCTCAATATTCCAGCAAAATGAGCAGGGCAGTGAGGGTGGTGGAGGGAGTTCACTAGACTATTAACTCTTGCTGCTGGCCCCTCTCTCATCTGCTCTCTTCCTGGTGCCTGTTACCATTTCACACTTGGTTGGTATGGGGGTTGGTTTCTCCTCCGCTTTGGTGCAGGTCTGTAGCTGAAAGCTCTTGTATGAAGGAGCTGGGGAGTCTCAGACCCATTCTTAGCAGAATGACACAACCACTAGCCCAGGTGATACTCACTGGTCCCCTGGTTGGCAGCCTCCAGAGAGCAAGGTGTAACCATTCACTCACTAGAGAGGGCCCCTGTAAAGCAAGGTGAGACTCATTGGCCTGGATATGAAACAGCCAGAGTCCAAACCATCTACAGAAGCAGTGGAACAGGCTATGGGGCAGTGGGAAGCTTAAGGCATCAGAGTTCAGTCTGGTCACAAACAATCGGAGCAGCAGTACAAGTCATGCACAGATGACGGGGAAGAGGTAGGAGCTGCGGATGGAACACAGAGAAATATCCCAAAGGGAACAGGCACATAGGCACTAGTAAAGTGAGACTCAGCCTAAAGAAATACTACTCGTACATTGGGGAAATATATCCTGAAACCTGGATCCTCAGAGGGGCTGTCAGAGCCTCGGGAGATGGAGGGTGGAGCTGTACAAAAGCTACTGCACCTGAGGCTTGTGTACACAAGACGATTGCTGCTCTTTGTATGGCTCTGGGCACCTCAGGCCCTGGGGGCTCTGCTCCGAGAGCAGGGAGGGGACACGCAGCATGACAGTGGTGCTGAGGGGTGCAGAGTTGACTCTGACTGGAGGGAGTTCGGGGAAGGATGACAGGAATGAGCAGGGAGGCGTGGGGAGCAATGAAAGGATGGAATCTGTCCAACTTGGCTAGTGACTGTAAGGAGGGGAAGGAGAAAGCAGTGCTTGCCAGTATCTGGAGTTTTTCAGGCAAATACCTAGAGAGCATTGTGGGCAGGGCAGGGGAATCTTGGCTGACATCCTGATGCTGAGGGAGCAGTGAGCCCACTGCCCAAATGTTGAACACCAGGAACAGACTGGAGAATGGGTTATAGGGGTCAGTCCTCCTCAGGCCCAGGGGGAGTGGCTGGCTGTGCACCAGGGCCTTCTCCATCTTTGCTGACTGGGGACACTAAGTAAGCGATGTGTGTGAGGGCTAGATCCCTGGAGACGTCTTATTCACAGCTGCCTTAAAACACTTCAAATGGAAAATACATTTGGGCTAAGCCTGGAATCGATGCGCCCCCTGGTGGCAGATGCCTGACCAGCCAGAACATTGTACAGTGCACCTGTACAATCCCCCCATATTATGTACTTCCTTCAAATGTGGGCAGAACAGTCTCCTCGCTTTTCTAGGACTTGCTCATTGCCTCCTCACTAGTTCCTGATGGTTCTGAAGCTCTGTGATGCTTCATTAGCCTCTGGCACAGTGGGGGTTGGATTTGGGGAACAGCCCCACCTCCTTAGACCTCTGTTTTGCGGGGATGTGTAACATTTGTGGTACAGGCTCAGTGCTTTATGTCTAGCACTGAGGGGGAGGGGGGAAAGATATAGGAATGGCCATATCCTGGCCCTGAGGGCTCCCTCCCTCCCTGTTGCAGCCAGAGGTGGCGTGGATTCCCAACAAGCATTACTCTGGGATTTATGGGCTGATGAAGCTGACGCTCACGAAGGCACTGCCCTCCAACCTCTCCAAGGTCATTGTCTTGGACACAGACATCACCTTTGCCACTGACATCGCTGAGCTGTGGGCCATCTTCGGGAAGTTCTCTGGTGAGGAGGAGTTGGGACCAGTTGAGTTGCTATGCCTCTGCGAGCAGAGCCAGGCCCATTGCCCGGGCTTCTCTGAAAACATGCAGCCCCTTGGCACTGGTGGCAGTTTAGGAGTCTGCTCTGTTTGGCTCTTCCTGTCTGTCTTCCTTGTCAACCACTGGTGGGAGTGGAAAGGGGGGGTGGGGGAGGGCAGTGCAGGGCATGGATTTGTGGTGGGCACATACCCCTCTGGTGAGGTGGGTCTGTCTCACTTTCCAGATAAGCAGGTGGTTGGGCTGGTGGAGAACCAGAGTGACTGGTATCTCGGAAACCTGTGGAAGAACCACAAGCCATGGCCAGCGCTGGGACGTGGCTTCAACACAGGTGAGCTCAGAGCATCCACAGCTCAGTAGTGAGACTGGCGCAGGGGAGGGCCCCCAGAATTTGGAGGGGGGGCAGGGCTGGGGAAGTACCTGCTTTTACTCCTCCCCATTAGGCTCACAGATAGCAAGGACCTATTGCCATGACTCCTGTCCCGTCCCGGAGAAATGCTGCTGTTGTTGCTTGGGACATGGGGAGCAAACTGCCAGCAAATCCACTGGGACCTAAACTTGTGGCCTTGGCCACAATGGCTTGATGGCAGGTTTCCCCAGTGGCTCTACCTGACTGGCCCCCATTCCCTGCTCTACCAGCCCAAGGCCTCTCACACAACCTGCCCCTCTTTGATTTTATAACGGGGATAAGTGGCCCCAGTGAGCTGCACTGAGATGCCTTAATAAGGCTGCCAACTCTGACTGAAGTTATCCTGGGAGGCTTTTTTCCTATGTGACATAATAGGCTATTTTAAGAAAATGTCATTAAAATGTCCAGGTTGGCTTTCAATAGTCAACAGGGGGGAGATGCCAATTCTGGGAGACTCCAGGCCAGTCCTGGAGGGTTAGCAAACCTGATTCAGCCTCAGCACAGGGATAGTCACATGCCATTCTGCTCTTCCACAGAGAGGTTTCTTAAGGTGGCCCCCTCCAAAGGTGACTGCTCCCTAAGGCCATTCCAAAGTTGCCCTGGCCAATCAAAAAGTTCCTGAGGTGGGAGCTGAGCCCCCTCCCCACGCTCTGGGAATCATATCAGGAGACACTGCTGTTGAGAAGAGTGTGGGACATAGGGACATCACATTCAGGCTAGGCAGCAAGCCTACAATCCAGCCCGCCCTCTGGGATGCCCAGCAAAGGGTGTTCTCAGAGAACTGGTTGGGTGCCGTCCCAGAACATTGACCCTAGGAAGCTCCAGAAGGGATCTGGCTAGAGCTGAGCTCGGGAGGCTGAAGGCTGGATCGACTGCATCAAACAGAAGTGCTGGAGCCTGTGTGATGTGGGGCACCTGTGACCTCTCCTCCTCCCACCTCCTGCTTCCCAGGGGTGATCCTGCTGCTGTTGGAACGGCTGCGCCAGATTGGCTGGGAGCAGATTTGGCGGCTGACAGCAGAGCGGGAGCTCATGAGCATGCTGTCCACCTCGCTGGCAGATCAGGTATGGAGCCGAGCTGAGCCCCAGCTACAAGGTCTTCATTGACCCCATGCTTAGTCTTGGACAAACTTATAGATGCTCCCTGACCTGCAACTTCCTGCAAACACTGGGGCCTTTGGATGCTGCTGACAGTAGGTGCCTTTGGAGCAATGTTTCCTCTAACTTTTTCCATGTGTGAAATAAATTTTATGTGCAGTTGAAACAAATCCAGCCATGGGCACTTTGCTAATTGGCTGGGCAGCATTGGAGGGGCTGCACAAGTGCACAGTGTACAGGGAACACTGCCTGGGATCCATGATTCGAGACTTGTAACCTTCCACTCAATCAGCTCAGCATTGGTCTTGACCTGCAGCATTCCCTGTACTTCAGCTTTAGATGCCTCCTGTGCAGTGTCTGGTTACTGTGCCCACCTGTAGGGTGGCTGCATGGCATGGATTAATATGGAGACCCCTTCTCCCATCAGACAGCTCTTGTCCCCTGCTCAGGGTTTGCCCTCCAACCTGTGGGGGCTGAAAGTTTCTGCTACCCATGGGCTTATTGCTGATTCTCTTCCAGGACATCTTTAATGCAGTGATTAAGCAGAGTCCAGTGCTGGTGTACAAGCTCCCCTGTTTTTGGAATGTGCAGCTGTCCGACCATACCCTCTCAGAGCAGTGTTACTCAGAGGTCTCTGATCTTAAGGTGGGTCTCTTGGTCCTTGGCTGCTTTGCAGGAGGAGTTGGTGCTGCAGCTGGGCTGAGGAGCCCACTGCTGCAGGCACTGACCTTTCTTGGCCTGGAGGGATAAGGTGTTGGATTCTAGGGTGCAGTAGGTGGGTGGTGGTGGATCCAAAGAGGTGGGGAAATACTGTGTCTGCCTGTTTCCTTCACACTTCAGCCCACCTTTCTCAGGTGATCCACTGGAACTCGCCCAAAAAGCTGCGGGTGAAGAACAAGCATGTGGAGTTCTTCCGGAACCTCTACCTGACCTTCCTGGAATATGATGGGAACCTGCTGCGCAGGGAGCTCTTCGGCTGTGCCAGCCTGCCCAGCCCACCAGGAAACCAAGTGAGCCCTTGCTGGTTGCTAGCCCCAATACTCACTTGCCCTTATCTTGTGGGGATGGGAGAGGTGGGACATGGGACATTCCGTTCCCATGGATCCATCCATGTCCTCTCTTGGGACTTTGCGAGGTTGGTCCCTACATGGCTCCTCTCCAGGGCTCTGTCCTGTTTAGTTGAACATCTCCTGTGTGTTCCAGCTGCAGCACCTGCCTGCCCTTGGTTGTTTCCTAGCTGCAGTCTGGCCCTGCTACAATTCATTCTTATGTTCTAGCTGCAGCAAGCCCTGGAGGACTTGGATGAGGATGACCTCTGCTATGATTTCCGCTGGCAGCACCTTATGATGCACCGCATCCACCTGTTCTTTCTGCAGTATGAGGTCCCGGCCTCACCTGACCCTGCTGATGTCAGCCTGGTAGCCCAGCTCTCCATGGACAGGTACTCGGCAAGGACTGGGATGGAAGGAGGGGAGTTACGGGATATCTTGTTTCTTCTAGGGCAGCTCCCGCTGCTGAGGAGTGGGGTCTTGCAGCCAGCTGTGGGATCTGTAAGTACGTTCATCAGCCCTGGAACCTTTATATGAAAAGATGCTGTCAAACTGACCCAAGTCTAGTTCTGCACTAATAGAAACCTCACTTCTGTCGGGGGGAAGGAGGGGGGGCAGGAGAGGTGCAGGGGACTGGAGCTCAAATGGGAGTTGTGCCTCAAATGGAATTTTGGTACTTTTGGTTCTAGGATTGCAAAATCACTCTTTACCACAGAATCATGCCTCCAAATTTGATGAACTTACACTTAAAAAAGCCCTACAATGCAGCTAGGAGGGGTAGAAACAAAGAAAACCTTTGTTTTCAACCTTTGTTGCAGAGTTTGAAACACCAGTTACCCGATGGATGAACCACTCCTTCATTTTAGTAGAGTATAAACTGTGAAACCTAAATATGGCACTACCAGAGTTAGTGCTGTTATTCAAGTACAGAATGTTGTGGCAGAAATAGGCAGTGAATTTTCTTATCCCACAATCCCAGACTGCCTCCCCACTTGCCAGAAGCCCTAAAATAGCCATTTAACTCTCCATTTCCCATTTTCTACAGTGCAGTTATATGCTAATACATGCATTTGTGGCATGTGGAAAGAGTAAAATCCACTGAATTCAAAATTAAAGCGAATACCAGAAGGGGCTGCTGTACTGATGGGATGAGTCATTTTCATGTTTAATTAAATGAAAATCTGCACTGTGGAACTTGCCTGGAGCTGCCACAGATGCTAAGACCTTGCAGTAGAATCCTGGTTGTTTACTGTGGAGAATGCTTCCTGGTTTTGGACATTCTGTTCTGTGGTAACTTGTTGAGGGAAGAAAAATGGGAGAGGTAGGGCAAGATAAAGTGACATCAGCATGGCAGAGTGGAAGGTTTGTTCAGTCTCTTCTGCGTAGCTGTGTCCACTGTTGTTTCTTGCCTGCTCTGTTGTCTAGTGCTCTCTCCATGTGGATGGCTCTGGCATGGCTAGTCTCATGCTGTTTCTCTTTCGCTTACAGGTTGCAGATGCTAGAGGCAATCTGCAAACACTGGGCAGGCCCCATCAGCCTGGCGCTGTACATGTCGGACGCAGAGGCCCAGCAATTCCTGCGCTATGCCCAGGGCTCGGAAGTGTTAAGCAGCCGCAGGAACGTCGCCTACCACATTGTGTACAAGGAGGGGCAGTTCTACCCTGTCAACCTGCTGCGCAACATTGCCCTGACCAATGCACGGACGCCCTATGTCTTCCTGACAGACATCGACTTCCTGCCCATGTATGGGCTCTATGATTACCTCAGGTAAGCCCTGTACATCTAGGCCAAGCTAGGTGTAGTAGTCAGGATTTACTGGTGTGAAGTCCTGACAGGTCTCCTGCTCCATTGATGATAATCAGTCGGGTGTGTGTTCAATCACATGCGCCATGTTGACTTGTGCAATTAGTCAACACAGCAAGACTGAGTCCCCAAAGACCACACATCAGATAAGGATCAAAGGCGCCCGGCCAGGTTTATTGTTAAGTGAAGTACAGGAATAGTTGTCGGTAGACTATCGAACTGCTATGCATTTGTACCCTATAACAATGGACTCAATCAGTGGAAGGCCCCACTGCCCCCGGCTGGACAAAGACTGTCCCCTCCCCTAAGACACCACTTAATATACAGGTACACCATACTCCTGATGTGGCCGGTTGCCACCCTCTGACTCTACTTAGATACCATCCATCACTCTGCCCCTCATGGATCGATTAGAACATCTCTATCCATCATGCTGTCATTTTAGACCTTTTCCTGAACCTGGGTCTGTATCTGTGGGGAGTGTGGGTACCCAGGTCTTTTTCAGTGAGCTAGTGTTACCATCCTTTTGGAATGTGCTTTCAACTTATAACCAATTACTGCTTTATAGTAGGTACCTAGTTCCAATTAGTGTTCTACACCTGGGCCTGTTACCAGTTAGTGTTTTGTGCACTCTGCCCTGTGCTGTGAGCAGGGGCCTGCCTCTTGCTCACACCTTAGCTTTGCTTTATATTGGCCAAGTGCTGTCCATTGTTAGCTGGAATTTTGTTTCAGGCCCTCATCTTACTACACAAGCCATTCACCCCCAAGGGTCCTGGTGCGACAGTTCCTCTCAGGTGGCTAACTAAGGTTGTCAAGTTCACCTGGGTCCCAAACAAGAGGGCTCCCAGCCCTTCCTGCTGGAGGTGATTCACCAACTGACAGGAAGCTTCTCCTTCTGCTGGCATAGGCTGGGCTTGAATCCTCTGGAAGAGCCCTGCTGTCACCTGGGGGAGAGAACCCTTGCGTGGAGAAGGAGATGCCCCTTTTGCACCACTGCTGAGTGGAGGTGCTGCATCCTGAAGGCTGTTAATCTCTCTTCCCACCAACCTCATACTGAGGAAGGACAGGATCTAGAGATTGCTGATGCCCTTCCACCATCTGCTGCTGGGGCCCAGGAACATACTGTGTGTGGGGCTCTATCTTCTACTGAGTGGCAGTTACCTCTTGCTGGCTCCAAGCCATCCTAGCGAGGCCTCATGCTCTCCCCTGCCCTCCTCCAGGAACTCCATCCGGCAGCTGGAGCTGTCCCAGCGAAAGGCAGCACTCATCGTGCCAGCATTTGAGACTCTGCGCTACCGTCTTTCCTTCCCCAAATCCAAAGTGGAGCTGCTCTCCATGCTGGACATGGGCTCCCTCTACACCTTCAGGTAGGTGCTGGAGCCACTCTCCTCCACCCAGCAAGACCCAGACCACAGGCCAGACCCAAGCGCCTTTTGTGTTGTCTCCCACCCCCATAGTCTGCCTGAGCCTGGATCTGTTCTGAAGTTGCTGCCCTGCAGGTAGTGACAGGAGCAGCCTTGTGTGTTACCCTGTAGCCCCAGGGTTCAGTGAACCACTGGCCTCCCTCTTGTAGTTTGTCTCTGGGACCTGAGGGCCTCTGTGTGGTACATCTAGCTGGTGCTTCATTTTTCTCTCTCTCTCAAGGTACCATGTGTGGCCAAAGGGCCATGCCCCAACCGACTATGCGAAGTGGCGGACAGCGACAGTGCCGTACCGTGTGGCGTGGCAGCCAGACTTCGAGCCTTACGTTGTAGTGAGGCGTGACTGCCCCCACTATGATCAGAGATTTGTGGGCTTTGGTTGGAACAAGGTGTCTCACATCATGGAACTTGATGCCCAGGTGAGTGAGACAGTGGAATTTGCTGAGAAAGGAGGGTCCAGATTCTGCTTTGTGCCTGGGAGCCCCTTACTGTGACCATGGGCAGGTGGTTTCTGGGACCCTCCCAGCACAAGACTTCCTTTGGACCAAACTTTGCTGCTCTTGTGGTGATTGGGCCTCCATGGGTGTGGGAAGAGCTCAGATGTACCTGCTTGCTGACCACCTGCTTTTTCCCAGGAGTATGAGTTCCTGGTCCTGCCCAATGCCTTCATAATCCACATGCCTCATGCCCCCAGCTTTGACATCTCCAAGTTCCGCTTGAGTGCTGGCTACCGGGGCTGTCTACAGACGCTGCGGGAGGAGTTCCACCAGGACCTGTCGCGTAGGTATGGTGCCGCTGCACTCAAATACCTCACTGCTGAGAGAAACCTGTGATGCCGAGGGACAGCGTGGTGCAGGGCTGGAGTGGGAAGGGGACAGACTTCTTCCTTCCTCCGTCGCTTGTTGGGATCCCCTGCCTGAAAAGGGATCAAACCCGCAGCACCATTTCCCTAGCACAGGAGCAGTAGTTCCCATTAGGAAGGAAAGAGCCAAGAAAAAGGAGCTTAGGGTTATTGGGGCTGAGGGAGCAGAGCATCAGAGCTGAGGGTTTCCTCATAGCAGTTGAAAGGACAGGACAACCTTGCTAAACTTCTAGCATGAGGGCTGCATGGAGCCCATCTCCCTCTTAAGGGCATGGATGAGATCGGTTCCTGTTGTTCAGTTTCCAGAGCTTTGGCCAGTGTAAATGACCCTAGGGGATTCCGCTGCAGTCCACTTGGGCACCCTTCCCAGCCTCACAAAACTATCTGACGCTCTGTAAGATGATCTCTTGCTTGATTTCTTCAGCTCCTGTCTTTTACCCTGTGGGGCTCCTTTAGGTCCCTTCACAGTTACACCTGTTAGGTGTAGCTTAGCCCTGTGAGACAGGCTGAACTTAGCTCTTAATCTCTCCTGCTCCCCAAGTTGTGATTATCTGAACTCTATCCCTGGGCCTGGAGGGAGCTGAAGCACCCCCCTGCTTCCCCTAGGAGACGGCAGGCTACAGGATGGGTCTCTGGGGATATACCTACACTGCAATAAAAACATGCAGCTGGCAGGGAGTGCAGAGCTATAAAACTGCAGTGCAGGTATTTGGGCTGAGGCTGGAGCTGAAGCTCTGTGACCCTGCCTGCTTGTTTGCAGGGGGCTGCATTTGCACAAGAGTATTCCCATTTCTTACTGGCTGAGGCTCTGTACACAACAGCTGCCTACCTGCAGGCCCAAGGGTTTGGTTTCTGCACTTTGTAGAAGTGCAGGCTTTAGCTGGCCAGCCCACACCACTGACCTACACAGCCGAAATCTTCCATGGGTAGCTGGGACTGTAGGCAAGGGAAGGCACTGCTTTCCCAAAATTGCCTACAAGTCCTGGCCACCCTGAAAGGCTGCAGCCCAGCAACCCTGACCCTCTACCTGGCCAGGAAGGATCAGGCTGGGGGAGGGGAGGGAGGGTTTGGCTCCAGAGGCAGGCCCTTAGGTGGAAGGGGGGCAGGGCTGGCGCTTGCCTTCTCCAGCTGGGCCTTCCCCGGCCACCCATACCATCTTCCCAGAGAGGACGGCAAAGCCTGTCCATCTTTCCCATTGGCTGCGTCTAGACTGGCATGGTTTCGCAGATATATTTTTAACGGAAAAGTTTTTGTGTTAAAAGTATTTCCGCAAAAGCGGGTCTAGATTGGCACAGATGCTTTTGCGCAAAAGCATCCGTGGCCAGTCTAGATGCGATTTTGTGCAAGAAAGTCCCGATCGCCATTTTAGCCATCGGGGCTTTTTTGCGCAAAACAGTTCTTCCCTGTCTACACTGGCCCTCTTGAGCAAGTATTCTTGTGTAAGAGGGCTTTTTCCCGAGCGGGAGTGTGAAAGCATTTGCGCAAGAAGCACTGATTTTGTACATTACAGAGTCAGTGCTCTTGCGCAAATTCAAGCGGCCAGTGTAGACAGCTGGCAAGTTTTTGCGCAAAATCTCGCCAGTCTAAACGCACCCATTCTGTTTGCATAGGCTCTCAGGCTGCTGCTCCATAGCATCATGTCCCCAGATTCCCCACATGTGGCTAGTGAGGGCTGGTGCTGCAAGTCTGCTGCTCTAGTCAGCTGCTGGGGCCCACAGCAGATTTTGGTTCTGGTCTGTGCCTTGGAGCTGAACCAGGACTGGATTATTGTCAAATCATGGTGCCTGTTCTGATAAAAACCATCCAGTCCCTGCCACCCTGGGAATAGGCTAAATCACCCCCTGGTGGGCAAGCACCTGCTCAGAGAAACCTCTCTCTCTGTCATTTCAAGTCTCA